TCTCTGCAAATGATTGCAATCAGGATATAATGTTTAGCTGACTTTCTCAACCTTCCATGAATTTAGGGAAACTTAAAATTAACAACTATAAAAGTAACAGATGCACATGGGTGTCAAATAAGGAAACTTTTTTTTTAAATTTTCCCAAGGAGATCTATGGTGACTTTGCCACAGGCTGGAAGGGACACCTAGAACTAATTTGGTCCAAGCCTCCTGCTCAAAGTAGTGTTAGCTACTGAGGGGGGGCGGGGCATGGAAAGCCATGACCAATTTTATTCTCAGTATCTCCAAAGACAGGGACTCCAGAACCTCTCAGTGCACCTGTTCTAATAGTCTACCTGCCTCACAGTAAAAAAGGAGTTTAAATTTTTTAAAATCCATTTTTATTTGTATTTAAATTTCTACCTGCTGTCCTAGCACTGTATATCACTGAGAATAGTCTGACTGTATCTTTACACTAGTCCATCAGGCAGTTTTTATGCATATGGATAATATCCCCCTCCCAGCCTTTTCTTCACCAAGCTAAACAATCTAGGTCTAGCAGCCTTGCCTTGTATGTGGGATGCTGCCTAACCATCTTTAAGGTAGTTGATTAGACCTGCTTTAGATGTCCCTTCCTCCTTGCTACTAGGGAGCCCATTGCTGGACCCAGTATTCCAGACACGGCCTCAACAGCCCTCATTCCTGAGTAGAAAGGAATGGTGAACTCCGTCGACCTGCTGGCAACATTTCCCAAAGAAGCACAGGTGGCTGCTGGCCCTTTTTGCACAAGGGCACAGCACTGCCCCATGTTCAACCTGACGTTCACCAGAACCCCCAAGATCCTCTTCTGCAAAGCTGCTGCCCTAGTGTGTACTAGTGTAGAGGTTTATTACTCCTTAGATTTTGGACTTTGCAACACCAGTCAGAAAAAAAAGAGAAAAATTACTTTTAGATTTATGCTCACACAGATGTACATTGCCATGCGCCCCTGAGCTCCTCACACAAGTTTTGTTTCATGCAAAAAAAAGCCACTGCCAACATATATATCAGACTGTCACAGAGCTACTGCCAGTTCTGGTCTCAGTGTGCCAAGTGCACACATTATGTAAGCATATCAAGTGCTTGAGAATATGTAAGGACATTTACAAAAGTGTGTGCACAGTTGTGCAGACCTGTATCTTAAAATATAGTTCTGAGTTATCTTTCTGTTAACATCCCAGACTCAGTGGGCTCCACTTATAAAACCAGCTGATGAAACCCCATTTGATGAACTCTAACAGATCACCACCACTCTATCATTCCATAAAGGAGACTCCCTTCCATAACAGAGATCTACATCTTTTCCCCCCCATCTTCTTACTGTTACAACTACTTTTTCCTTTCTTTTCTTTGGAAAACATCATGCTGACTCATTTTCTTGTTGCTATACTTTCTCCAGTTTTGGCCATGACAACTAATACTATAAGGATGCACAATGTAAATACTTACGAGATTTTTAATTTCTGCGGCATTATACAGCAGAAAATGTAATGAAAGGACTAAACCTTACTCACCTTCTTCAGAAGACAGCTCACTACCAACTTTTAATGTAAGAGCAGGAATTGACCTGAAGTCCTGAGAAAACCAACACTGAAAGGAGGGTTTATATTGATTTGCATTCCTAAAGGAACAGTAATTAGAATTAGGGTATTTCAATTTTGATTATTTTTATTTCTAATCTTTATTCCTCTCTGCTAACATCTCACTACTTCTATAAGAAAAAGATATCAGAGCAAGTAAAGAAGAGGATGTAATATCTATGAGGCATAATTAAGTTGAAGACTTAATTTGAAGTTTACTTTTTCAGTAATGTTTTTTTAGTAAATGGGATTTTAAACACATCACAGTGTAAAGATGTCTTAATTCAATCTCACCTTTTTTTGAGTAATCACATTTGTCACAGAGAAATCACATTTGTCAGATACAGATTGTTCAGATTCAGTCTCTGCTTACTGAGTGCTGGGTAGTGGCTGAGAGAAGCCATTGTTCTATGCACAACTTATTTTTTGTATATTTGCTTATTTTTTAACAAAATCTCTGCTACCAGCAGTTGTCAGGTTTGAGCGGGATGGGGTGATATGGTCTACTCCAGTGTGGACTTTATAGCATTTTATGTTTCCTTGCTACTTCATCTTTTTTTTCATCATGTCCCTTGTCTTTCTTTCTCTCAGGTTTTAAAATATAAGTGTGACTTTCCCTTCCTCTGCTTCTATAGCTGAATCTGCTTTTTTTGGCGTATCAGTGTATCTTTTTTCTACAGGTACACTTGCAGTTTTCTCTTGTTCACATTGCATCACTGTCCTACTCAGAGTCTGCCTAATATAAAAAATGTATTTTTTTGTCCTCATGACTTCTACCCTGCTCAGTTCCTAATGCATTATCTCCACTTCAGCACTTCCTTCCCTTCCCATAATTTCCAGACTTCATCCCAGAGCTCCCTTCCCCAGCACTAGAAGATTTGCTTTTGCTTCTTTCTTTCCAAGTCTCTGCATCTTTCCTCTTTGTTACCTTGCTTAGTCTTGTAGGACAAGTGAATTAGGAAAGGAAATAGGTGCCTCTTCTAATTGTCCAAGTCAGGTGTGTATTTAAACGTCTCAAATGCACTAGTGCCAACAGGAGTTGGAATTAGGTGATCTTCAGATGATGCCAGAGGTCCTTCAAACCTTAACAATTCCATGATTCTGTGAAATCTCAATATATTCAAAAAGGAACGGCACAACATTAAGGTGTCTGCTAATTTTCCAAGGAAAACACAGCACAAACAAGATAAACAAACTTAGTATTCTCTTAGAAAGTGACACCAGCTTCTCAAAAGAGTCATGTAACACCTCAGGTAGCTCTCTTAGAGACTAACTGAACATTACTGATGGCCTTAAGTAATAGAATGCTGTTCCCTCGTGAAATGTTACAGTCTGGTGACATAAACAGCTACTTGCTATTATTATTTCTAGGTGAAAAAGCAACACATTTTCTTTAATAAGTTTTGGAAGATAGAACTTGTCGTGTTACTGACTGCAGTGTTGTGCATTTTGAACTAAAGCAGTGAACTAAGTAAGCCTTCATCCCATATGCTGAATAACAGTGGTTTCTGAGCAGCACACTACCCTCCTGACTATTCAATACTAAGGATGATTTAATGCATTCCTGTCCCTAAGCATTTTTCTTCCTGATACTTTTTTCTCCTATACAACTAGATTTCTATGCCAGATCCTATTTCATATGCACTACATCAGTCTTTTTGCTGAAACAAAGACTAAATCTCTGAGACTATTTATTACTTCTCTCCTTCTATTTCTTTTTGGCTTTTTCAATTCTTCATTTCCCACCTTTCCTCACAAATACACCAGAAAAGTTTATGTCTCGCATGGCTTTCCTCAGCTACAGAAGGGTGGGGATGTGACGCATATCTTGTAAAATGTGTGTCAAACCAAACAATTTCCAGAGAGTTTCTAACACCTACCAGTTGTTATGGATATCACAGTATTATCAGAGTTATTTAAAACAGTTTTAGATTAGCCAAATGTCAATCTCGCAGCAACTGCACAACCTTCAGGACATCTTTGTGTATATGACAGACGTCCAGCTGCAAAATAATTGCAGTTTTCTGCAATAATTTTCTTAAAAACCCATGTACTTTCTAAATGAGCATGTACCAATTGTTTTCTTTACAGGGGAAAAATATTTTAAAGTTACAAAATAGGTTCAGCTATTCAAATGTATTATTTTGGTTTATATAACTTTTTCTTTTGAGTCTGAAAGCACAAAAGATAAATTTCGCTACTGTTTGTTTTCACATTTTCAATGTACTGGTTAAAAGAACTATGTCTATTCATTGCTGATGTTTTTTAAAGTTCCCACCGATGTTAGTATTTTAAAAGTTATTTTTGTTTGAGGAACAAATCAGAGGTCACAAAACTAACTTAAGTAACTTTGCACAAAGTCTTACTTGAAAATTATGACAATTCTACTAAAATAGCCAACCACTATCCTCTTCTGTTTGGCTTGTTAGTTTGAGCTCCCCTTATATACCAAGCCTATAATAGATTTCTTTAATATATTATAGCGATGAAAAAAAAATTAAATGGGTATTAGGCAGAGTTACAAAAAAATAAGGTGTTTTCTTTTTCTAGTGGTGCAAAATAGCTTATGGTAGATAAGACACATGCAGAAAGTTCTGACAAAGTGTAATCCGAAAGACATGACTCAGGGGGTACATGTATAAATACAAATGTCCCAGTCACCATACTGTGAAGAACCCACATGGAATTAGCTGCACGAATTCCCATTTTTTAGGAAACAGCTATTTATGCTGGTTGATCTTGCACTGAGGCATAATCTCAAGTATGCGATAATACATTCTGTCACCATGGAAAGGAATGTACATCATGCAATACCAAAGAATAAATTAAAACATTGTATGCTGGCCAAGTTTCATTCTTATTTCAACACAAACAACGGTTTAAAAGCATGGAGAAGGTAAACACAAGCTATCAGAGTAGTTTTTGTATTCCACTTCCTCAGTTTGGACCTCTATCAGAGTAGTTTTTGTATTCCACTCACTCAGTTTGGACCTAATTTTGGTTTAATTTTGTTGAGTCTCTAATTGAACTGAGCTAGTTGTCTCTTAACTATTCAATTAGGTATACTCAATGAAAGACAGGACAGAAAGCTATTGCTACTTCACCGTTGAAGGGCATGACTTCTCCCTTGATCTGTAGTGATACGCAGTAAAATCCTGTTTGTCTCACATAAAAGCATCCAGCGAAATCAGAAGGGTATGTTCTTGGTAAGGGTACCAGGATTTGATCCAAAATTGCATAAGGGTATAGACATTCTGCAAAATTTGTGGTCATGAACCTCTATGCTTAAAACAGAAAAACACAAGGTAATGCTTTTCCTGAAAGTTTCCATTATGACTAAGTACTTAACACAGATTTGCACGGAAATACGGCTTTAATTAAGCATAAGTTGCTTCATACCCAGAAATTGCTGCTAGTTTTTGATGAGCTTGATAGGCCATCTCACATCCTCGGGTTCGAGTTTTGTGCAATTCTGCATGCAGAGAAGGACAGGTGACAGAAACATCCCCAATAGAAATGACCAGCTCCCGATAGAGAGCCACCTGGGTATTGAACTCCTGGACAAGCTGAAAAACAAAAACAATTTACATGCATGAGAATTTTTAACTACATTGGTAAAAACAATCCAGTTTTTTAAAAACATGCCCAGTCTAGGTCTTCTTCCTGCTTCTCACAATTTCATAGCACACAGGATCAAGAGCACACGATTCAGTAAACAACCAGAGACCTCGTGGCAGCTGCTTCTTCTGTGAGCTATAACTGTTCATCTGTAGGAAAGTAATGTTTCTGCTTTCAATATCTGAAAGTGTTTGAGTTATTAGTATGAAATATTAAGCAGACAAAAAAACATCTGTTTTACTAGTAGCATGAGGTTATTTTTTGCTGTCATGAAAGGCGAAAATATCCCCAGAAATTACTGCCTTTGCTTCTCCTGCTTCCTGATCAACAGCATGTACAGGGACTGGAATGTAGCATTTGCTTTTAAATGGGCAATTTTGCTAATTTATTTTGTAACGATTTCTGTTCTGTCATTTTCCTTCAACCCAGATTTCTGACTTAAAACTCATCTGCTGTTACTGGCTGAGAAGATGTACCAGATAGGCACTTTCCTGCTAAAATTCCAGAAACCTTTTCTAAAGTGCATGTGGGAAAAAGAAACAAATGAGTAAATAAACACTACAATATGTACAGAAATCCAATATCCAGCAGATATATACAGATGTTATTGGATAAATGTGTAATTTCAGCATAATGGAAAGATCGTTACTGTTTAGTTCTACTGATCATGTGCATGGAATGATATTTTAAGGAAATGAAGCATTTGCTATCTTCTGAAAGAATGCATATAAGATCATTTGCTCCACATGGTGGTGGGGGTGGAAGGATTGGAGTAACAGAACAGAATATTTATCTGTGTTTTGACCTCAATTTCCAAACTACAGAAAAACAGACAAGAGTAATTGCTCATAATTCTGCAGTCATCATTAGCACCAGAAGTTCAACCTACCCCAACATAAAAACATACTAAGAGCTCGAATCTTTACACTCAAGTCCTCAAATTCTCATTATCAGGAAATACACTAGTAACTTCTACAGTATTATATTCCTACCCTTCATGCATCCCACTGCAATTAACTGTCTAGATGAGAACTGGTATCAAAAATAGTTTTGGCCATGCTTTCTTAAATTTCACTTTAAGAATAGCAAATAGGTTCCTCTGCTTCAGGTGCAGCAAGTCAACCCAAGTGCATTTCAGTACATCTGCACCCTCCCACACCCAGATCCCAAACAAACCCAAAAGCACACATCAAACAAAGCCCTAGGCACAATATTTGCTAAACAAGTCCTCAACTCATCATTCTGTAGCTTAAGAAGCTTAAGAGAATGCATGAAGGCAATGGAGAGGAAAAAAATTTGTACTGTGTTGTGTCATAGTGTGCTTATTCTGCATTAGGAAGAAAAGTGTCGCATCCTGCAACTGGTAACTGGTTGCACCATATACATTTTGCCAGTTCTCACCTCACATTCCTTGTTTAAACAGACCATCCAGCCACCTTAGCACTGCCCAGGAAAACCAAACCACACATATGTTGCTGAATCGAGACATAGAAAAAGACCACATTCATTTTACCTCCCGAATCCTATTGCAACTTGATAATCCACCTATAAAACATTTTACTTCTAATCAATTAATTCTTAAAACTTCTCTGTAACTAATCAAATTACGCTGTTCGGAATGAGAAAAAAGGCAGAACCTAGTAAGATCCACTTGTTGGGTATGAGCGACCATGGCAGCTTTTGTTCCTCCATGCACTGGGAATTGCTCCCAATCTTGAAGCATCAGAGTGGATAATCTCCCAGCACATTTTGCAGCACCAGAGTAAAAAGAAATGCCAGAATCCAGCAGAATAGAACTGCTACTGGACAGAGCATTAGCCAGGTACAGATTTGTCCAGAAAGTAGCAGCGACTTCATTTTCTTTTCTAGGTACAGATTTGTCCAGAAAGTAGCAGCAACTTCTTTTTTTTTTCTACATCTGTCACTAGCTAGAGGGGTAATTTTGGGGCCCAGTGTCAGGCTGACTGTAGCTTAAGAAGCCTGAAAGAAGGTATACGGTGCTGATTTGGAAGAAAATTGTCAGGATGCAAGCTTTTTAAACGTGACTGGGGAAAAATTTCATACCAGAATGCAACAGTCCGTAAATAACACTAATGTAGGTGTTTCACCTGAGGTTTTACAACTGCAACCAGCTACTCTGGGAAGACTGGTAACAGGTACCATATATATCAGGGACAGAATTTCAGGGCCTCTAATTCTGTGTCTCCTTATTTAGAATGATATTAGAGCAAGCATGCGGCTGCTGCACAAGACAGCAAGTAGTGCAGTAATTCATTGGAGGCAACTATTTACCCATTTAGGCTTCAGTGCGCCCAAGCCTGGGTACCGATTTGGACGGATCTAGCAAAAAAGCAACTCCGGCTGCTTTGCGGTGTGTCTACTATGGTGAGGACTCCTGCTCTCGCAGGATTGTCCAGGCGCCCGGCTCCGCTCCCTGTTCCGCAGGTCTCCTCGTACCTCCCGGCTCCCGCTTTGGAACCGCGGCGAGTTGGGGTGCAGGGCAGCACCCCGGCGGGGACTGCGGTTTTAAAAACAGTGCAATTGCACGTGATGGGAATAGCCAAGGTGGCGGGAGGAATGGCACAGTTGCCTGCGCCGGGAGAGCTCGGAAAAGGTAAAAAACTACGCCAAGCCCGCCCGAGGTACTTACCATCTTACAGTCATCCAGGGTTCTCTGGGTCTGATAGGCACTATCGGAGCCGCTGCCCCGGCGTTCGCTGTCGCGGCCATGTGGCGAGGTCCTGCTGCCCTGGAAGATGGAGGCGGCGGAGCGGGGGCGCTTCCTGCGCCCGCTCGGTGCAGCGCTCATGCACACGCATCCGCCGCGCGGAGCCGCCCGCGGGCGCGGGCAGCGCCTTCCCCCCCGCCGCCGCCGCCGCCGCCGCCCCGGGCACGGGCACGGGCCCGCGCCGCTCGTCGCCTCGGCCGGGCCGGAGCCGCGCCGCTCACGGCAGCGAGCTTGGCTGCTGTGGGCGATAGCCTGGCGGCTGCGGGAGGAAAGCCCGGAGAGCGCCCTGCAGCATCGCCTCCGCTACCGCGGGGAGAGGCGGAGAGGCTGGCGCCTGCCCTCCTTCAGCAGCATGTCAGTTCCCGCGGAACCGCCCCGCCGGTGGCATGCTCCGCCGTCCTCCTTCGCGCAGCCGACGGGCGGAGGGGGTGGAGCGCGACCGTGCCCGCTGGGGAAGAGCTCCCATGCAGCGCCCAGCGCTCCCGGCGGGAGCCCGGCCACACGGAGCGAAGCGGACTTGCCCGCCGCGAGCGGCGCGGAAGGTCTGGAGGGGCTGGCGCCGTCAGCAGCACCGCCCCCGCGGGGCGGGAGCGCAGCGCCGCTCCCGCCGCGCCCGCGCCCGCCCGCGCCGTGAGGGGCCGGGCCAGCGCCGCGCCGGGAGGGGCCCGGGAAGCCGCCGCCCCGCCGGGAGCCGCCCCGCCGGGAGCCGCCCCGCCGTGCCCCGGGGTCGTAGGCTGCCGGCCGGCCCGCGTTCGCCGAAGTTGATACCGATCTTCAAGAGGCGTGCTTAGGCGTCGGTTTTCTTTTTAGAAAAAGATTTCGTTCGCTGCTCAATGTTTATCAAATTTAGTCTAATGTTAGAGATGTCCCAGCGAGGGACACGAGGATGGTTGAGGATCTTGAGGGGAAGCCTTACGTGAAGCAGCTGAGGTCACTGGTTTGCTCAGCCTGGAGAAGAAGACATTGAGGAGAGACCTCATTGTGGTCTTCAGCATCCTCGTGAGGGGAAGCAAAGGGGCATGTGCCAATCCCGTCACTCTCACAGCCAGGACTTGAGGAAATGGCATGAAACTGAGTCAGGAATATCAGAAAATATATCACCCAAAGGGTGGTGAACACTGGAACAGGCTTGCTAGGGAGGTGTCACAGCACCAAACCTGACAGAGTTCAGGTAAGTGTTTGGGAAAACATTCTGTCGTGGTTTGACACGGAAAAAGAATTTTTCCAGAAGGAAGAGGTCAATTTGGACATTGACCAATTGAAGGTGGACACGCCTTTGAGAACACAGAGGGGTTAAACGCAGAATTCCCAGGAGAACTCGCTCTCTTGGGTTCTGGTCAGCGGTCAGTGCAGGACTCTCCCCTGCCCGGCCACGAGCTGGGTGGAGGAGGGGAGAAGCCATGTGGCCTTTGGAGGTAGGCCCAAGGGTGGAGGGACTGGAACCGGGCTGGCCCCCTGCAGATGGAAGGGTGGAGAAATCTGTGATGTCTCCGTTCCCCTCCAGAGTCTCTCTCTCTCTCTTAAGAGAGAAAACGAGATGGCAGTAGTTTTGCCAGCAGTTCACCGTAGGGAAGAAGAAGAGCGGGGGGGGGCGCAAGGTGCCCAGCCGGGCTGTGGGAGCTGGAGCCTGGGCAGCGAGCCATCTCTGGGAGTCGGGACTTTTAACCCTTCCTGAGAAATGAAAGCTTTGTGAAATTTTTCTCCTCCTTAGTTTGAAAAAGAGGAGAGACAGCCTGGGACCTGGGATGTTAAAAGGAAAAATTCTAGGTGGGAAGAGATAATAGAGTAGCTTTTAGCTAGACTTTTTCTTAGTAGCCACAGATCGAACTGATCTTCTCCTCCAAGAGAGACTATATTTTAAGAAGATGCCAGTGAGCCAAAGAGACCATGCTTCAGCTAGGAAAAGACAGAAGTAGAGCAAACAGAGAAAAATTAAAGAAGTTTGTAGTGGTGCCCCCTGTCTTCGCAGAGGAAGAAGAAAAAAAGATCTCTGTTCTTAGATCCTCGGCCCCAGAGAAAAATGGGGGGGACTGTTGGTCCCAAAAATGAAAAACTGAACTGTTGTTTTTTCCCCTCTTGGCAGGGCATCCTTAAAAAGAAAAATCCTAAAAGCAGTCTGTCCATCCATGCATTAGTGGTGAGAGCACTATGCATAAAAAAAAGAAAGTCACCACTAGCAAACTTTTTTCTCCAGGCGGTGCCATGTAATAACATAAAAGCACAGGATGTAGCAGCTGTGTTTCTTAGGGAGTCTGTGGCACAAAAGAGACTCCTCTCTCCCTACAAATAGACTAAGTGTTAATTATCTAGAGAGTAGAAACCTGATTGGGGTCCAGATTGTATCTCACTGTAATTTGTTAGAGTTAAGTAGTGGGGTAGTGGGAGGAGGAATGCTTTAGAAAGTTTTCATTTTGAATTGTGTGTGTTTCTTTTTTTTTTTTTTTTTTTTTTTTCCTCTTTTATAGTGGCATAGTAGTAGTAGTTTAATAAAGTTTTTTTCTTGTTATTAGGCTTAAGCCTGCTTTGCTCTGTTCTCAATCACATTTCACAGCATTCAGTTGAGAGATTACATTTTCATGAAAGGCACTAGCATCGTGCCAGTGTCAAACCATAACACATTCGCATTCACATGATGGAATTATTGAGGTGTCCTGCACCGGGCCAGGAGCGGATTCAGTGGTCCTGAGAGGTTCCTTTCAACTCAGCATATTCTTTGATACTATGACTTACTTTCTGTCTGTAAAAAAAAAAATCATATTTTGGGGCTCTAAAAAAAGTTTGGTGTTTGTGATACAACAAGATTGTATTTGTTAATTGTAGGAAAGATTAAATAATAATTGAGTGGAGAAACTCCTCTGTGCACTAGCAGCACAGTGCAGTTGCATTCACCAGGCTGATGCTCACAGTCCTCCCAGGCCGTGGGCACCAGCCCCTCCAATGCAGAGGGCTGTGGGGCTGTGCCCGTTCTGTGTCTGTAGCTCCCTTCCCCCGGGGCTCTTGGGGACTGCACTGCCTCAGCACGAGCTATGGCCTGAGCCGGCTTCAGCTTCTGCTGGTCCTGTTCCTTTCTGTACCCAGTGAGCTATGGCTGTTTAGCCCCCTTCGGGTATAACTGTATCTATTCAGGCCACTGAATAAGAGCTTTTCTGTGTTTCAGTAATGTTCTTGAATGCAAAGCAACATCAAACACATCACACAGAGAAACCTCGTCTTGCCAGGGAGCTTGAATATGCCATCTGTGGCACTCTGGCAGCTTGAGGAACTCTTTTCAGGCTGTTCTGAACATTATTGTAACACAGACAATCTAATATCCACTTTAATCTGGATATGGCCTATGAATCTACTTTGAAACTCTTTAGACTTTTCCTGCTATTTTCACAAAAATGTTAGCTACTGGATATGTGGTTGTATGGATGCATTTGCAGCACTTGCAAGTGTTGTCATCACATTAGTTAAAACTAAAATGACCTTGCAATTCTAACTTTACCTTTGTAAACATACTACTAGATTTTCAGCATTCCATGCAGAAAAACTTGCAGTTTGCTAGTCCTATTTTAAGGACATCACTTTTTTTTTTCAAAGTTAATTTAATTCTTTTATAGGAAGTAAATGCATAAGATTATGCTTTGGGCCAGGACATGATACTGCTACAATATAGAGAAAAGACATTTCCTAATGATAAGAAACATATTTTTAATATTGGTAAAAAGCAAAATTAATACATCCTCTCCTCACATCTATATAGGTAAAGGGAAAAATCTATATTTGTAAAGGGAAATAAATATATCTATATTTGTACACATCTGTATTTGTAAAGGGAAATAAAATATAACACTATGCTATACCAGTGCTAGTATTTTATTTGTTGCTTTAAGGATCATTTTAGTCAAATGTTGTAGTCATTTTTCAGTCATTTCGAGTCTTATTAAGAGCTACTGCAATAGCAGTAATGAAATAATGCTAATACGAAACTCAACAAAAATAACAATAAATCTATCAAAGAGTGCAGCATGTTTGCTTTTATGTTACCTGTCTTGGCTGAAGCTCTGGTCCCTTGAAATCAGCACCAAAGTCCCACTGGCTTTTAAGAAAGATTATAATTTAGTTCCTGGTGATATATCTGCCCTATACAAAGCTGAATTTTGTCCATCAGCCAGCATCTGGCACAGTTTTGAAGTTCTAGTGACTTATTTCATTTTACATGGTGTTTTCAATATGTGCACATTTGGAAGTGGATATGGTGATTTTTTTTCTGTAATTTGTAAGACTCAGTGTTTTCATAATTGTTCTGGCTGACTTCTGAAATCATCATGGAATGTGGTGAATTTGATGGCATTTCATCAGTATTATCCAGGGTTATGTTGGAGAAACGTGAGTGACAGGTGCCTGGAGTGACAGGTATCAACTCAGTCTGGGATGCATAAGAAACAATGATTGTAGGCATCCCAGGAATGGGGATGGGGGAAACAGCTCCAAGCTAAGCCACCAAAGGCTGTTGCAGGGTGGGCAGTGGAAGCAACAAGACTTGAAAACAACAAAGTTTGAAAATACGTATCACCAGGAAACAAATTCACTCTCTTGAAAACAGATGTATGTATGTTGAAAACTTTCCTGAAGTGACATAATTCTTTCTTCTTGTCTGAGCTAGTGTTCCTGTCAATTTTTCCTTATTCTAGCTTCACCTCCTGATGTTTAATGGATTACAGGAAGCAGGGGCTTGTTACTACCTCCTATGGCATCCTCTCAAGGCCACAGGCAGGTGACCTTGAAATAAGTTCAGAAAGTACTTGGCCTGTTACAGTCAAATTCTTTGCAGCTCTATAACTCATAATGAACCAAAAGTCTATATGTGGGCTTTCCTCTGCCTAGCCAGAATACTAATTCCAAAAAATCAACTGAGATGAACTTTTTTTTTAACTTGTGCGTTTCTCTTGGTCCATTTTTTTGTAATCTTTGTCTGTCCATTTATTGCTCTGGTAGTTAGCTTTTAATGGTATTTCTCAAGGGTGTGTAGAATGTAATGGGCTAGATAAGTTATGAAAGAGAGACTAATTTTCCAAGAAATGTGAAGAGAAGCCCATGTAGGGAAA